CACACCCCGCACGCACGCACGCAGGCACGCACGCACAAACATAATAAATAATAAATAAATAAATAAATAAATAAATAAATAAATAAATAAATAAATAAATACAAATCTCTAAGTCATTTGTACAGACGTAAGAAAGTTAGTCTTTTCCATCAAACACTTTAAGAAAACTTGTATTTAGGACACGGACCACACAGTTTTTATCTTCTCCACCTTTATGCAAATATATTAATCCTTCAAAACCCAGTACACAGTGTTCTGGTGGGAGCTCCACCTCAGCCCCGGCATCCATATACCCAAAGAGTCTGGTGGTAGCCCAACTTCAACTCCCCTCCCCCATCTTTCCCCAAACCCTGCCTCATCTCAGAAAGCCCTGCGAAATGCATCTCCTCCCCAAGAGATGCTCAAGACCACTCCCACAGGGTATTCAAACTGCACCCCAGAAATAGACACATGGTTTTTCTGTCTCTCTTCCCCATCTCCTCTCTAGGGGGCTGGAAAATCATCTGGGAGTGTTTTACCCATTAAACTGGGCCTTTTTCTAATTCGGTTTAATTTGGTCTGATTTGGATTGCTGCATTGGCAGAGAAGCTTAACTGGGTACAGAAACTTTTCACACAGGAGTCTTGATGCATTCCAGGAGCCTGTGACCTGAACAGTAATGGAGAAAAGACACAGCCAGCCTGTGTTAGGATTTAAAAAAAAAAAAAAAAAAAAGCATGCTTCCTGTCCCTGTGTGCCTGCTCTTTGGTAAACAAGGCACCATCTTGATTAAGAGTAAGATGTTTTACCTTGTTGAAACACTTCAATTAGAGGTTTCTTTGTGACCCAGAGTCATTTCTAACACAATGACATGTAAAGATGTCTACACTTTGAAGTTCATGTCCTTTAAAATGTAACTGTCCCCCATTAGGCTGGGTTTTGTTTTGTTTTGTTTTGCTTGTTTGTTTAAGACAGGGTTTCACTAGGTAGTCCTGACTGGTAAACCTTTCTTTTTGATTAGACAGAAAAGGAGAAGTGCTGTGGAATGGTCTTTCTGTATGCTATGAATATGTGTTGCTACCACTGGTTAATTAAAGAAGCTGCTATGGCCTATGGCAAGGCAGAATAGAGCCAGGTGGGGAATCCAAGCAGAGAGACAAGGAAAAGAAGGCAGAGTGAGGAGATGCTGAGTGCTGCCGGGGGAGCAAGATGTAATGGAACACAGGTAATGCCACGAAACCAAGTGATAAAACAGATTAATAGAAAGGGGTTAATTTAAGATGAAAGAGCTAGCTAGCAAGAAGCCTGAGCCATAAACCAAATAGTTTGTAATTAATATTAAGCCTCTGAGTGATTATTTTATAAGCAGTTGCGGGACTATGGGTGGGATAGATTCGTCTGGACCGTGGGGCTAGGCAGGACAGAGAAACTTCCACCTACAACTGGTATCTACCATTAGACATTGATCCACGTAGACCTGAAAAATCTTAAAAAAAGATTCTGAGAAACAGAGCCAAGAGCAGCTTCCTAGTTCATGTCTTTCATGGTAGAGACACTGCAGCATTCGAGCTTGAACACAGTGTGGCAGATTCCCACCACAGTACACAGAGGCGTCTCCAAGCCATGCAGCACATTGCATGGTGGATTTAGGTTTTGCCAGCACAGACAGAAGAAGATTTCTGGGCTACACACTGCTTGATGGAGGCATAGATCCACTGCTTTCCAGAGTTGGTGATGAGCATGGCTCCCAGAGCCAGAGATAAACATACCTCTGCCATGTTGGGAAGCTGAATGGGGTGGAACCAGCAGCCAAAGCTGCAGATTCAGTCCTGGCCACATAGCTTAACAGTTTAAAAACTCTCCTAGTCAAAATAATGATTACAGATACATAATACGATAGATTCAGATGGGGAAAAAAAAACCTCTAAATAGTTTATTGTATGTTTAAAAATATACGTAGGCTTAAGAAAAAAGAAAAAGGGTAGAGAAAGTCCTTAAAAATGGAGTAAAAAAAAAGCCATGTAAAGATGGAAAATACACAGAGAGACTGGATACTGTGTATTATTGTGTTGTCTTTGGGATTTTTTTAAACTGCAGACAGACATTTGATTATAAAGGCTGCTGGGTTAAACCAACATATATATTTTAAAGGTATCTTGACTTCAAAATTTGGGTCTAAGGATATGTTGCTTTGGAAAAGAAGTTCTGCTTTTGTTTCCACAGAAGATGAAAAGCTGTGGATTCCTTCCAGGTTAATATGGTTCCACCAAGGAAGACCCCCTGAGAGATCTCCAATGGGAGACATGCAGAACAGCTTCAAGGCAACTGGCTGAGACAGTGCAGCCTCACAGACTACTCCAGCCAAGATTTAACCATAATTCTAAATTTTCTCAGGATCCCCGTAAGATTGCCAGTGCCCCCAATCAGCAGGAAGTAGTATGGAAAGCTATGCCCAAATTTCCAAAATATTGCTTATGAATGTTTGTTTTTATTTAAAGGGGGTTGATTATAAATGCAATCTCTTTCTAAAGAAAAAGGAGGGTATGATATAGAAAGGACAGAATAAAAGGATAGATTATTGAATCTACTTTAATCCAAAGAAACAACTGTTAATCTCAAAATACTTTACATTTGTATGAATTTTTGTTTATTGATACAAATTTAAGGTCAATTTTGTTATATTATACTTCTATTCTTGTTTAAGGTATTATGTTTATGTGACTCATTTAAAATTGTAACATATAATTAAGAAATACATATTAATAGCCATTTATGATAATCAAATTTATAATCATGTTAGTTAAGTTTTCTAAATATGCAAAGATATATTTCAATTAGATGGATAATCTTCAAACACTTCAAAGACCTACACAATATGACATTTAAAATGTTTTAAGAACTTAGACATTTCTGGACAGTGAGACACATCTGCTCCTGGTAGCACCAATTTACTTCAAAAGAGGATGATGGGCATCAAAGACACGTGGCTGGAGAGTTTTCTCTCCAGGTCCCACCAAGCCCTGGCAGTCCATTTATAAAATAAACACACAGATGCTTATATTACTTATAAACTGTATGGCCATGGCAGGCTTCTTGCTATCTACTTCTATCTTAAATTAACCCATTTCTATTAATCTATAAGTTGCCATGTGGCTTGTGGCTTACTGGTACCTTACATCTTGCTTTTCATGGTGGCAGCAGCTGGCCGGTCTTCCTGCCTCAGCCTTCCCCTTCCCCCAATTCTCTTCTCTTTGTCCTGCTTATACTTCCTGCCTGGCTACTGGCCAATCAGTGTTTTATTTATTACCCAATCAAGTAACACATGTAACATACAGAACATCTCACAGCACTTCCCCTTTTCTTTTTTTCTAAAAGGAAGGTTTTAAGTTTTGCACAGTAAAATTACAGTTAACAAAACCATTATCAAGCAAGAATTATAGTTATAAAGACATCCCATTTGGAATTTATCTTCTTTTTGACAAAACTAGCCATTTGGGCAAGAATCTGCCCTTGCCTGGACTGCTTGACAATATGTTGTGTAAACTGAACATGCAGGACCCATAGGAAAGTGACCACTGAACTTTGCCAAAACAAGGCAGGATGGTCCTTCAGGTTCCTGCTTCACAGAAGAAACTGCCAGATATTCTGCAGGACACAGAGAAAAGTGACTGATGAACTTTGCTAGAATGGGCAGAACAGTCCTTCAAATTTCCTGCTTCACCAAAAAGTATGCCAGAGACTCCAGGTCTGTAGGCTGAAGATGGATGCCCCAACATTGCAGAGGAACTTTGGGTGACTGTCCAGGCAGCCAGATGTCTCTGTCATTTCTAGAATTTTGGAAGTTGCTTGCAATGCACTTCCTGTTTATTCAGGTAATATTATATCCTTCTGGGGCCTGAGACACACTAGGAACCCTGGAACCTTCAACACTCACTTCATCCAACACCAACATAATTGGTCTCTTTGATATGGCCATCTATATTTCTTTCTGACTGACTTTTAAAGGCTTCAATTTATCTGCTCAGTTTATTTTGGGGGGGAAACACATGAACACATGGTCAGGCACCATATTTGATAGGGATGATCATGTGGTCAGATGGCACCATCTTAAATAAGGGCAATCATGTGGTCAAGTTGCCATCTTAAATAAGGTCAAAACAGATAGTTAATATGGCCTCATCACTATCTTACTAAGGGCAGCAAAAAGTCACTCCCTGTCTGTGGCTCAAGCATGGGCAGGGCACTGGTGCTCAGGCCATCTGTACTGGGGAGAGGTCAGGAAACTGCTCACACCACACGTTGTTTTACCATTGTTTTATGGACTGAGAAAAGACCTCTGGTCTTGGCCTGATGTTTCTTAGCAGCCTCTCTCAGGCTCAAACAGGTGGGTCCTGGAGACCCATCCTCCCCACATGCTGGTGATATAGCCAACTTGCCAGCCCACTTCATTGCCTGATTCAGTTGTGGGCAGGGGTAGCATATTCCTATGCCAGGATATTGTAGCAATAGTAATGCTTAAGAGATTTTAAATCTTTTTTAAATGCCATGTACTTTATTTTTGATATTGCAAGAAGACATCTGAGAGATCTTGAACCTTTCCTTGGGAGCAATTTTTAGGAAATGGTTCAGGATATAAATACCACTTATACATACTTTTTAACACAAATCTCTAATTCTGCTAGGACTCAAGGGTATGAGTCCACTTCTGCTGTTTTGCAGATACCCATTGTCTACTCTTCTATGATATGGATTTCAGTACTGATTGATAATGCCAATTTATCTAAAACTTTTCTTTCCTTTTTATGAAAAAATTCATATAAGCCTCAGTGGATCAAAAGAAGCCATTGGATCCACTTCACAGAGGTCAAAGGAGCTCCAGACAAATGAGTTTCCACATGTCTGTTCCTGAGGATGGTATTTCTCTCCCTCCTGGTCTCCCTTTCCCAATCACTAAGACCATGGTCCAAAAGGCTCCAAATAAATTCATAAATTTTAACTCCCATCTCTGGTCTATATTTCAGCAGGCTGGCAGAAACATCGAAGCAGCAGTTGTGGAACACAACCTGCAGACTCTCCCTGCTATGGATGCCAGCAGAGACTCTTGTCTATGTGATGTGGACCAACCCAGCCAAATGTAATTATTTCCTTTCTCTACAGCTAGGTCAGATGACCACATGCCTGAGTTCCCTCCTTCCCTTTTACTAGCCAGAGTCCTGACCACCTGCACCCCACTTCAGCTTGAAGCAGCAATGGCTAATATGTCATCCTGTGCTCCCTGTTCCCAGGACAGGCTGGAGGGCTACATTAAGGATGGAAAGCCTAGCATAAAGTCCACCAAAAGGGTCTTTTTCCTTTTTTCAGAGGGTCCTTTTCTCAGAGTTGGGCTATATCCTGACTAACAAGCCCCTTTTCTCCGGTTTCCCCTGTCAATCTTCTTTGCCCTCTCAGGAGACAGCTTAAGAAATAATTATTTCTATATATGTCATTCAGGATTGTAGTCTGGCTATACTACAGGACATTAAAAATGGTAGTGGATTCAGATCACTACCAATGGCTTAGAGAATGTCTTTCCTTGCTCAGGATCTATTCAGGCTTAGGAATGTAGCTCCCTGTCCTTGCTGACTTCATTGGGCTGTGACCAACAGGGAAACCTGTATATTCAGATTTAATTTATATATATGCTCTCAAGTTACATATATACTCTCAAAGTTACACACACACACACACACACACACATATTTAACAGATTTTGTTCACCCAGTCCTTAAACACCTGTAGAGATCTGAGAATGTGGCATTTAATATAAAAGCTTTTAATGACAGCGAGACATGCCAGCTCCTGGCAGAATTCTGTATCTCCTCCAAGAAGATGGATGGCCACAGAAGAACTTCCACCCAGAAGCTCATGGCAAGCCTGGCCATAGAGCAAAAAGCTGAGATCCTATCCAGACTGTGAATAAAAGGAGGAAAAGGGATTAGTTGTCCTTTTTGCCAAGACAAGTAGGATGACCTCCCCAAACTTCTACTTCACAGAAAAAATCTGTCAGATCTTCTGGGCCTATCAGTTGAACAAGTGCTGCCTTTGGGGCCTCTGTCCCCACAACGACCATGGAGAGACTTGGGATTGATGCCTAGGAAAGCTGTCTCACTTCTTAAATTTATCCTTCTCAGAGCTGACGATGTTTGATGACTAGGGCATCAGTTTAACAGCTCCAGTCCCAAGATTATATGTGTGTGTGTGTGTGTGTGTGTGTGTGTGTGTGTGTGTGTGTGTGTGTATAAAATATGCACTCTCCAATAACAGACATGTATTCCTCATTCACAGACTTCATGGTACAGTATAGACTGGTTTCAGATATAACTCCAGAGGTTCAAAGTTTTAATACTGATAAATGCAGCTTTGATAAACAAATAGAACATTGATTACAAAGCATTCTTAAGAGCCCTTAAATGGATTTTTAACCATTTTGCCATGATAAAAATCTATTTATTCCAGCTCTCTTACCGATACCTACAAGCTCCTGGGAAAAGTTCTGCTACTGTATCAAGATATCTGGTCTGATGAAAACCAACAATCTCCAGAGCCCACTTTGACCTCACCCACTTTGGAGCATATTTTACAGTTTCCCTCCTCCTGCCTGGGCCAAGGGGCTCCCCAGACATGCCAGCCTGCACCAGCTGGCACCAGCTCTGAGGATGCCAGCTGGGATGGCTACACCCCCACCTCCAGAGAAATGGCAGATGTGAGGGCTCCTGCACTCCTAAAGAACACATCCTTCAGCCGGGCGGTGATGGCGCACGCCTTTAATCCCAGCACTCGGGAGGCAGAGCCAGGCGGATCTCTGTGAGTTCGAGGCCAGCCTGGGCTACCAAGTGAGCTCTAGGAAAGGCGCAAAGCTACACAGAGAAACCCTGTCTCGAAAAACAAAACAAAACAAAAAAAGAACACATCCCTCAATTCACTGCTGGTACCACCTCTCTACTCAGGCGGGCACCTGCCCAGCAACTGGAACCTGGTTTTCCAAGATGTCCCAATGAAGGGCATATCCACTCTCATGCCTCACTCACTTACCCTTGCCTCTTCTGTACAACCGGGGCACTTCTCTGTTCCATTATTTATCCATGGCTAGCCCAGTTCATAAGGCCAATGATAACAATCTATCTTTTCTCCTAGCGATCTCAAGGAACAGACGCCAGAAATCTCCGTGATGACAGCCAACCATGCTTCCTCACTCACGCCTCCCGTCGTGTGTGACTTCCGGCTTCCCCTCCTCACTTCGCCCCTTGTCAGGTTGAAGCAGTCTCGGGAATTCAGCGTCCTTGTTCCCCCGCTCGCTATCCATAACTCACCTTTTTGTAATCATCAAAATGGAGGAATGCTAGTATTCTGACCCACTCATGAAATCCTGCTCCTTGGCCCCGCCCTGCATCCTGACGTAAAAGCCTCATTTTAAGGAAAAATCCTCCCTTTCCTCTTTCTTGCTTTTCCTCCCATGAGGTGTGCACCCCCCCTTCTCTCTTCCCCTCTCTCTTTCTTTCTCTATCTTCTCTCCCTCTTTCCTATCTTCTCTATTATAATAAGCCATTTCTATGCGGACGCAGCATCTGAGTCGTGAATGACTGTTTGCCGCTGCCCTGCTACTGCATCTGCCCAGTATGCCAGCACACGCAAGAAACCCCCAGGGTCCCCCACGCACTATATCATAACACATTCCCTTCAACAGAACATCTTCTGAAGGAGGGGTCCCACAGAACAAAGGCAGGTCTTTGCTCCAGAAACGGGTCAGGGCCTGGCACAGCCACACCTTTGGCAGGACACCCCGAAAATCGGAGGAGGCCCTGGCCCTCTCCGGCAATGACTTGGCAATGACAGTTTACCCAGTCGAAAGCTGATCTTAGTCTGGTGGAGAGCAGGTGTCGGGGAGGAGAGTGCTTTCCCACCATGCAGCCCCGGGCCGGTGGGGGAAAGTCAGCCCCCTCGGTGGAACCTCCAGATGAAAAGTTTTCGCACCCCGATAAGCCTCTTCACAGAGGCAACAATCCAAATCAGACCAAGTCAGACCGAATTAGAAAAGCCCCACTTTAATGGGTAAAGCACTCCCAGGTGATTCTTCAGCTCCCCAGAGAGGAAATGGGGAAGAAAGACGGAAAAACCATGTGTCTGTTTTCTGGGGTGCAGTTTAAATACCCTGTGGGAGTGGTCTTGAGCATCTCTGGGGGAGGAGCTGTGGTTGGCGGGACTCTCTGAGGGGCAGGGTCTGGGCAGAGAGGTGAGGCTTCCACCAGAACATCCCAGACTCTTTGGGTATAGGATGCCAGGGTGTCAGGGGCTGAGGTGAGGCTTCCACCAGAACATTCCAGACTCTTTGGGTATATG